AGCAGGGAGTATTTGATTCCAGATTACATGGGATATTCTGCTATTAAGAATTCTCTCAAAGTTCGGAAGCAAATACGATACTATCAAACACTCAAGAAGACAGTAGTCTAATAAGCATTCATCTACAATTCTATTGGCTGAACACATTAAATAAGGTCACGATGACAACCTTTTAAAGGGGCAATCTGGGATTCAACCCGCCACTTGTTTTGATAAACAGCTGAGTGATGGGGCTGGAGAAATGCTACCACTCTCAAATAATTCATAGACAAAGCTATGGATTTAAGTATGAATAGCTATGGATCAAGTAAGAAAATAAATCGGTCCGTGACTCACTCAACTCACTTCTGCAGGAAGCGTCTGACATAGTTTTAAAGACTAGACAACCAGACGGTTCTTTATTTAACAAGGGAAGTCACATTGGGATTGACATCTCTTTTCTAAATGTGGCTTTTTTGTCAATCACTCATCAAGTCATTGTCTTGTGACTGTTTGAAAAGAGTCTCTGCCAGAAAATACATAACCTAGAGTTAAAACGTTCCATAGCTATCTTGTAGGCGCTTTGGACTTGGAATTGCAGGAAATTAGCTTTAACGGTCGACTTTGGGCAGGAAAAACGGTCGAACTCCATCTCTTTCTCAATTTTCAAACAGAAATTTGGGAGTGACATTGGTGGTTCATCAATGTGTCATTCTGGTCATGCACGCCGCAACCGACGTAGCTAGTTTGTTAGCTAAGCTAGCCACTTGTAGCTAGACAGTAACTCCTCCAGTATGTGTTGATGTTATTTCACAGGATTTGTTTTTGGGTGGAAGCTGTAGAAATTTGGTAAGAAATTACACTTCTGTAGCCAAATATCTTATTCATAACTTTTGTTTTTGTTTTTAAGCATTAAATGACCTGGTATGATGGTGCATTGATCAGTTATACAGGTTAAAGCCGTTATCTTTGCGTTTTTGCCCAAAGTCGACCTTTAAAGTAACGGTCCAGTGTTTCCAGATTTCTATGAAATATGACATATAATTAACTACAATATGAGTAAAATAGTTTTCTTTCCAACATTTTTTAATTAAGTATGTTCAAAAGCAGCTGTTCTGTGTAGGAATGGTGTGGGCGAACCCCAACAACAGAATGGTGTGGGTGTATATAGTGGTCATAAAAAATATGAATGTGAGTAGACCGCTGATTGGCCAGCTCATCCTTCTCAGGAGGATGACATCAACCTCTGAGGAAATAGCAAGCATTTTTTAAACGGTCTGTTTGAGATACAAGTTTGAGGTGGGGTTTTTTAAGGTTTTTTTTTCTCCAATTTATGCTTCGGCCACAAACACGAGTATAAGATGAGTCAACAACATTATTTGGGTATGAGTTAAGAGAATATTAACTTTTAAAAAAGTGAGATTTTCACTGGACAGTTACTTTAAAACTGCAACAGTGTCTCTCAGTCTCATGGCAAAATGTGTAGAGTAGAAGGAAATTAACTTTAAAACAACAAAATGTTGTCTAATCCTCATGACAAAATGTGGTGAATAGCATAAAACAGCAAAAACTATTCTTCGCCCCATGGCAAAATGTGTAGAATTGCAGAAAATTAGCTTTAAAACTGCAAAATGGTATCTCTGCCCCATGGCAAAATGCGTTGAAATGCAGGAAGTTAGCTGTTTTCCTTCCACTTATACTGTGTTTTTCAAAATACCCCTCCATATACCCCTCATTAATTATAAATGTAAAAAAAAAAAAAAAATTACTCTGAGATGCTCCCTTCGGCTCCTACAGCCCCTGAGCTCCATCCATATAGTTATTTATAGCATGAAGGGAACCTTGCCCTATTACATTTAACCCATTGGATGTGGTAAATGTAATGTAAGTTAGGCCCTCTGTGGTGAGGTCGGTGGCTGTGACAGATACAGAATGTAACCAGTTGATCTGCCTCTGTCTGGATGTTACTACTATCATTGCTGCTGCTGCTGTTGGCAAGAGCAGTGTTGCCAGTGTGTCACAGCCAAGGCACAATTGGCTGCTGAGGTTGACTGGGAATCAATTGCTAGATGGTATGTTGATTACAGCGTGTCTGACTCCGTTCTGCTAGGGTGGAGGTAGTCTCGCATTGCAAGACATCACACCATATTCTCTAACATGGAAATCTTTAACAGCTGGGGTCGAGGCTAGGGTGGAGAACATGAATGACATCAGAGCTCAGGATAATGTACTAGCCTATATTTCCAATAGCCTGGTCCCAGATCTGTTAGTGATGTCTTGCAAATCAGATCTGGGACCAGGCTATATTTCCATAGCTCTTAAGAAACTGCTACCACATAATAGGCTATGCAGTAACCATTGTATTAGATTTGTCCACCAGCCGGCTCTTTCTCTAGCAATTAGTCTGGGAATGAGGTTTACAGTACACTATATATACAAAGGTATGTGGACACCCCTTCAAATTAGTGGATTCTGCTATTTCAGCAACACCTGTTGCTGACAGGTGTATAAAATCGAGCACACAGTCATGCAATCTCCATAGACAAACATTGGCAGTAGAAAGGCCTTACTGAAGAGCTCAGTGACTTTCAACATGGCACCGTCATAGGATGCCACCTTTCCAAAAAGTCAGTTCGTCAGATTTCTGCCCTGCTAGAGCTGCCCCGATCAGCTGTAAGTGCTGTTATTTTGAAGTGGAAACGTCTAGGAGCAACAACGGCTCAGCCACGAAGTGGTAGGCCACACAAGCTCACAGAATGGGAACGCTGAGTGCTGGAGCGCGTAAAAATCGTCTGTCCTCAGTTGCAACACTCACTACCGAGTTCCAAACAGCTTCTGGAAGCAACGTCAGCACAATAACTGTTCGTCGGGAGCTTCATGAAATGGGTTTCCATGGCCGAGCAGCCGGACACAAGCCTAAGATCACCATGCGCAATGCCAAGTGTCAGCTGGAGTGGTGTAAAGCTCTCTGCCATTGGACTCTGGAGCAGTGGAAACGCATTCTCTGGAGTGATGAATCACACTTCACCATCTGGCAGTCCGACGGACAAATCTGGGTAGTCCGACGGACAAACCAAGGGAACACAATCTGCCCGAATGCATAGTGCCAACTGTAAAGTTTGGTGTAGGAGGAACAATGGTCTGGGGCTGTTTATCATGGTTCGGGCTAGGCCCCTTAGTTCTAGTGAAGGGAAATCTTAATGCTACAGCATACATTGACATTCTAGACCAGGGGTACTCAACTCTTACCCTACGAGGTCCAGAGCCTGCTGGTTTTCTGTTCTACCTGATAACTAATTGCACACACCTGGTGTCCCAGGTCTAAATCAGTCCCTGATTAGAGGGGAACAATGAAGAAATGCAGTGGAACTGGTTTCGAGGTCCAGAGTTGAGTTTGAGGGTTCTAGACGATTCTGTGCTTTTAACATTGTGGCAACAATCTGGGGAAGGCCCTTTCCTGTTTCAGCATGACAATGCCTCTGTGCACAAAGCGAGGTCCATACAGAAATGATTTGTCGAGATTGGTGTGGATGAACTGGACTGGCCTGTACAGAGCCCTGACCTCAACCCCATCGAACACCTTTGAGATGAATTGGAACGCCGACTGCGATCCAGGCCTAATCACCCAAAACTCAGCGCCCAACCTCACTAATGCTCTTGTGGCTGAATGGAAGCAATTCCCTGCAGCAATGTTCCAACGTCTAGTGGAAAGCCTTCCTAGAAGAGTGGAGGCTGTTATAGAAGCAAAGGCGGGACCAACTCTATATTAATGCCCATGATTTTGGAATGAGATGTTCAACAAGCAGGTGTCCACATACTTTTGGTCATGTAGAGTATATATGAGGTGTAACTCATTAAGTCCTATGAGGACATTCATTATGCTTGGATTTAATTTTCAAATTCCCATTACACCACAGCACAGTAGTGTCTGTGCCTCATATCTCACCAGCTGTTAAATAATCCAGAACCCTCACACCAGCTGTTCCAGTGTTCCACAGCGTAGTTATCACAGATGGCTTCATACTGATGGCGAATAAAGAGGGGTGATTGGTTCTCTGCTTGAGTGCCAGTGACACGTTTCCTGAATCCTACCCAGGCTTTGGGTTCCCCTCCACCCAATCCCTCCAATTCAGTTCCATTCCATCTTCCACATTTCCTACCAGAGCATGGTATTTTCATCCATCACAATTTTTCTACAATTTCCAAAATCCTACATTTTATTCCACATTTCACCACCTTTGAATAGGAGGGCGCTGACGCCTGAAGTTCAACCCAAATTGAAATCGACCCCAATTCCTCTGGTACTGGCTGACAGAGCAGAGCAGAGCTGCACCTCTCTGCCTTTTCATTCAACAAGGCTGCAGCTGTAGCGTTTAGCCAAATGTTACTCAGCAGTGTCCACTAGCATATTCAGTATTTCTATATTTATCCTACTCAATTCCAGTGAGAGAACACATGGAGTGTGTGTGTAGTTGACAAGACACTTAGACACGGCAAAGAGCAATATATTTTTCCTCCCCACTTATGTATTTGACTTGTATTTATTCCTAGCACAAAGTACAGTATTGTAAATAGTACCACTATTTGCTGAATTGCCACAAATAAAAAGGAAAAAAGGAATGTGACAACATACACACCAGCTATTAAATCATTAAACCAACAGTCATGTGGGAAATGTAATGTCGCCGATTGGCTGAGAGGGGACATCATCCAACTGCACTGTGTTGCCAGATTGTTATGACACTTTGCAGGTTAATCGGAGCCAAAATCCCCCTAAAATCTACTAACAGTAGCCCAAATGTAGATTTTGAAAACGACCCTATCTGGCAAGACTAACTGTAGGAGATGTCTCTTAGGCCAGAATGCTCACTAGGGGACACTGTAGGGTAATTTCTCAGTGTAAACAAAAGATGCCTGATGCACCAATATATAATAACTGTAGATTCTACAGAAAAATATTATATGCTGATACTCTGAGTGTGTTCTAATCTATGACTATGTTCTGTTTAGTGTTTCAGCAGGGAAGACCTCTGTGGCGGAGCCTGAGGATATCGTCAACAACAGAAGCAGGAAGTGCTGACTTCAACCTGGACACCAAAACAACCACAGCCATGTGCTCCATGAACAATCCAAACTGGGTGACCTTTGAGGATGAGGGGAGTACGTCTACGTCCCCTTCTTTTGCCTCAACCCCCTTGAAGATCCCAGAGAGTGGGACAAAGTTGGCCTCAACACCCCTGAAGTCACCAGGGGCAAAGATAGGGTCACCCCCTTCCTTTGCCTCTACACCCCTGAAGACACCCCCAGGTAGTGTGACAACGACAGGGTTAAAGACAATCCCCCGTCCCAATGGCCTAAAGCTGGTCCTCCCCCCAGTGGGAGATCCATCCTGGATCTTCAGCAGTTCCCCTCCAATGCACTTTAACCTCAACGGAAGTTCCTGTGTGCCCTGCAACACTCCTCTTTGCACTCCGGTGAGGGAGGTTCCTCCTACCGGCGCGTTACCTTTCCATTGCAGGCCCTGGGATCAGCACGATTTCTTCCGTAGTTTTTCCAGTTCATCCTCTGCCTCTGTGCCTTATTCTTCTTCTCCCCCTGGCCCAGACCAGGCCACCACTACCGGCACCACCACACATCCCCAGGGTGACGTCTCCGATGGCCCCAGTACCTTCCCCTCCTTCCAGGGGGACCCGGGACATTTCAACCCATTCTGGGAGGGGGCTGGTGGGCATAGCGTGGACTCTGGGAGCTCATCTTCTGACTCTGAGTCTGGAGGTTCTAGTCTGCCTCGCTTCTTCATCCGGACGAAAGACGGCAACGAGCCTCGTCGACCAGACCACCTCCAGAGCTCCTTCTCCTACATCTGCCACAAGCTGGAGGGCCTGCGGGCCGAGGAAGACAACGATGCAGAGGAAGGAGTAGTGATGGATAGAGGGGAGAGGAGAGGAGGAAGAGACAGGGAGGCAGTCAGGGAGGGACCATCGCCAGCCTTCGTCTCTCACGGTCTGTTCCGTAGCGAGAAGAGAGACGGTTGGTCTTTAATGCTGAGGATCCCAGAGAAGAAAAACCGAATGTCGTCCCGACAGTGGGGCCCCATCTACCTGCGTCTGCTGTCTGGAGGGGTGCTCCAGATGTACTATGAGAAAGGACTGGAGAAGCCCTTCAAAGAGTTCCAGCTGCAGCCTCACTGCAGGTTGTCAGATCTCAAGCTGGAGAGCAATGGAGAGCCTCGCAAGATCCAGACAGTGAAGGTGGAGCACGTGTCTTACACAGAGAAGAAGCGCTACCACCCCAAGGTAATAGGGGGGAGACACAATTGAGGTTTTTAAATCACGTTTAAAAACACACCTTTTTAGCTTGGCGTTTAATCAATGATATTATTGTTATAGATTTAATCATATTGTTTTACTGTGTGTTGAGATTTTAAATGCATAAAGTTTGATTTGAAGCTGGAGGTGTCCCACGAGGCAGAGGTGGAGCAGTTGCTGAAGTTTGGAACCACAGAACATGGCGACATGGAGGACCTCTTCGAAACTATGGAGGAGGAGCTTCTCAGGCTGGCCCCGCCCCCGTTGCAGAAACGACACTACGATGAACAGGAGATGACATTGCAGATCACAGACCACCTCTGGGTGCAGCTGGACAAGGTGCATTTACTTCTTCTTCCACTACCATACAACTACTGTAAGACAGCTGACGCAAGCACACACATTTTGTTCAGGAAATGTAACTTTGCTAGTGTAGTTCATTGGTATTTCAGCATTATTACAAGTTCTTAAAAGCAGTCGTTATTAAAAACAAATGTATTAATTGCTTAGTTACTTATTATATAAAACATTGATAGCCTAAATAATAAGGTTATACATTTCTATGAATGTCTTTTCCTAAATTCTTTCACATAAAAATGATTCCCTACCTATTTTGTATATATTGCATGCCCCTTGGGGATCCTTTTTTGCCACTCGACCTCTCATTTGCTAAAATCAGAAGATACATTTTTCAAGGACGGTGTGGTGATGGACCGGGCGGCCATGACGAGGATCCACTGCCTGGCGTTCCTCAACGGCCCAGGGGAGTGCTTCCTGGCTCTCAACGACTTGGGGCTTCTACGCTTCGATGCCAGCTACGGCTCTGGCTCCGAGGAGGTTTAGTATTAGTTTCTTAACATGCATATCAACACACAAACATAACATTTTAACACACATATACAGTGAGGGAAAAAAGTATTTGATCCCCTGCTGATTTTGTACGTTTGCCCACTGACAATGACATGATCAGTCTATAATTTTAATGGTAGGTTTATTTGAACAGTGAGAGACAGAATAACAACAAACAAATCCAGAAAAACACATGTCAAAAATGTTAGAAATTGATTTGCATTTTAATGAGGGAAATAAGTATTTGACCCCTCTGCAAAACATGACTTAGTACTTGGTGGCAAAACCCTTGTTAGCAATCACAGAGGTCAGACGTTTCTTGTAGTTGGCCACCAGGTTTGCACACATCTCAGGAGGGATTTTCTCCCACTCCTCTTTGCAGATCTTCTCCAAGTCATTAAGGTTTCGAACCTTCAGCTCCCTCCACAGATTTTTTATGGGATTAAGGTCTGGAGACTGGCTAGGCCACTCCAGGACCTTAATGTGCTTCTTCTTGAGCCACTCCTTTGTTGCCTTGGCCATGTGTTTTGGGTCATTGTCATGCTGGAACACTCATCCACGACCCATTTTCAATGCCCTGGCTGAGGGAAGGAGGTTCTCACCCAAGATTTGACGGTACATGGCCCCGTTCATCATCTCTTTGATGCAGTGAAGTTGTCCTGTCCCCTTAGCAGAAAGATGGTGTTCTTGGGGTCATAGGCAGCATTCTTCCTCCTCCAAACACGTCGAATTGAGTTGATGCCAAAGAGCTCGATTTTGGTCTCATCTGACCACAACACTTTCACCCAGCTCTCCTTTGAATCATTCAGATGTTCATTGGCAAACTTCAGACGGCCCTGTATATGTGCTTTCTTGAGCAGGGGGACCTTGCGGGCGCTGCAGGATTTCAGTCCTTCACAGCGTAGTGTGTTACCAATTGTTTTCTTGGTGACTATGGTCCCAGCTGCCTTGAGATCATTGACAAGATCCTCCCGTGTAGTTCTGGGCTGATTCCTCACCGTTCTCATGATCATTGCAACTCCACAAGGTGAGAACTTGCATGGAGCCCCAGGCCGAGGGAGATTGACAGTTATTTTGTGTTTCTTCCATTTGCGAATAATCGCACCAGCTGTTGTCACCTTCTCACCAAGCTGCTTGGCGATGGTCTTGTAGCCCATTCCAGCCTTGTGTAGGTCTACAATCTTGTCCCTGACATCCTTGGAGAGCTCTTTGGTCTTGGCCATGGTGGAGAGTTTGGAATCTGATTGATTGATTGATTGCTTCTGTGGACAGGTGTCTTTTATACAGTTAACAAGATGAGATTAGGAGCACTCCCTTTAATAATAATCTCAGCTCGTTACCTGTATAAAAGACACCTGGGAGCCAGAAATCTTTCTGATTGAGATGGGGGTCAAATACTTATTTCCCTCATTAAAATGCAAATCAATTTATAACATTTTTGACATGCATTTTTCTGGATTTTTTTGTTGTTATTCTGTCTCTCACTGTTCAAATAAACCTACCATTAAAATTATAGACTGATCATGTCTTTGTCAGTGGGCAAACGTACAAAATCAGCAGGGGATCAAATACTTTTTTCCCTCACTGTAAATGCCTAGCCATACAATTTTAAGCCACATATCAAAGCACCATTTTATCACAAATATTAACACGAAAACATACAATTTAATTTTCATATCAAAAGACAACACGATAAGTAAAATCATCCAGGATGACCCAAAAACTCAAGACAGGCCTCTTTCCATTGTGGTCTTCTAATTTCCATTGTGGTCTTTCAGGATGACCTCCTGGAGGGTTGGATGGAGATCAGCGACTGCCACTTCCACAAGTGCATCAACGACTTGGAGTTCCACAGGTCCCGGCTGCTCAAGTTCTCTCCTCCGGATGCCTGTAGAGTAGAGCTGATGCGCTACAAGACATTAGCCCTGGGATGTACCGAGCTACCCTTCTCCGTCAAAGCCGTGGTGACTGTCCAAGGGGCCTACGTGGAACTCCAAGCCTTTCTCAACATGTCAGCCGCCTTCCCGTCATTTACCGGAGTGCCGGAGACTCAGCCGCTCTGTGAAAATGTCCTGATCCGTGTGCCGGTACCGGGGGACTGGGTGAAGTTGTCGCGTACAGTGACGTTGCTACGACGTAAGTCACTGACGGCCAGGATGAACCGGAACGCGTGTCTGGGGTCAGTCAGCGCTTCAGAGTCACAGCCAGTCATGCAGGTTACCGTGGGGACGGTCAAGTATGAGAATGTGTACTCAGCCATCGTGTGGAGGATCGACAGACTGCCTGCTAAGAACATGGGTAAGGACTAAAAGGAAGAGCCTGGCTGTCTATTGATGATCGATTGATGATGGGGGTCTATTGATATTCATCTATTGATCTCTTTTCATATGGAATGCTGGCTCTATATGACAATATTGGCTTTATTTTACATGTTACATTTACAACTTACCGAAATGTTTCAAAATAGGCTATGTAAAATGTAACTTATGTTCCCTAATCAGTTTAGCTACAATACATAGTATTTATAGTATTATGGTTTGTTATACTATTGCTTGGTTAAATACTCAATTCCAATTGACTGATGTTACAGTGATTTGTTTGCATTGTGCCAGAGAGGATGGAAACATGCATCTTTCAGATTCTGCTCATAGTGCTCCCCCAAGTGGTAGAGATTGCTAACTACACATTCTCCCTTTTATCTCACAGCAGTGGACCATCCCCATACCTTCTCCTGTAAGTTAGAGCTTGGTTCAGACCAGGAGATCCCCACTGACTGGTACCCGTTTGTCACAATGGAGTGTGACATGGTGGGGGCCGTGGTCACACAGACCAGAGTGAAGTCACTGGGCACAGAGAGTGACATTCAGCCTCAGAAACATGTTACCAGTAGGACTCACTATCATTGTCAGGTAAGGCCTGAGATATTATTATTATTATTAGTTAACAAGTTTAATATCTATAATGTTTAGTATTTAAATGCTGTTTAATATCTATAATGCTGTTGTAGACCTAATTTTGTTTGTTTCTATTCCAATCTATTTCCCAAGCAGAATCATGCTTTGTGATTAATAAGGGTACAGGGTATATTTTATACTGTAGTTATTACTGTGACACCAGCTGACCATGCCTAGGCTGGTCCTGTAGTGTAGCAAAATCTTCTATTGTTGTCATTCCATAGTGATTATTCCATACCTATTGAAACTGAACCGTATCGGTCTGTCCTTTTACAGGTAGAAATTGAGAAGAAGTGGATTGAGACAGAAGCACAGGGGCAATCAGGCTGCACAACACAGTAATGATTATGATGAAGGAAGTCTTAAAGGATCAAGTCTCACATTACCATACTCCCAAGTCTCGTTCGTCGTGAGGAAGCCTGGAATTGAGGCTATACGCAGAATGCCCATTTCCTTTTGCCAACCAAACTCATCCTCCCTGTTTCAATACAAGGACAAATGTTTAAAAGGGACATCATCTTTTATATTGTGTGTTCGTTGTGTACGTTTTATCACCTATAAGTCTGACATAATATTGTTTGGCCCTGTTGTACTCCTGTATGTATGGATATTAACACGTTGTATAGCCTGGGTGCCAGACATGACAATTTTGTAAGGGGTTGGCAAGAGAGCAGAAACAGACTGGCAGCCAGGCTAGTTCTAACCTGCATGGTAGAATAGAAGTAGGCTACAACAAACAAAAATATTATCATTGGAAGAACGAACAACCGAACACACAGCCCTACCATCACAATGCACTTTACATTTCTCTCAGAAGATTATTCATTGTGAAATGACAGGAGGTTGAAGAAGCTCTCTTTATAAAAGAGGAAATACCATGTATAATCTTGTAGACTTGCATTTAACACACTCACAGGACTGGTTTTCCCGACACAGATTAGGCACAGGAGGTTGCTGAGGGGAGATCGGCTCATAATAATGGGCGGAACGGAGCAAATGGAATGGCATTAAACATCTGGAAACCATGTGTTTGATGTATTTGATACCATTCCACCTATTCTGCTACAGCCATTACCACAAGCCCGTCCTCCCCAATTAAGGTGCCACCAACCTCCTGTGAGATTAGGCTAAATCTAGTCCTCTCTAGCTCAGTTGGCAGTTGCAATGCCAGGATAGTGGGTTTGATTCCCGGGACCACCCATACGTAAAATGTACTGTACGCATGCATGACTAAGTCGCTTTGGATAAAATCATCTGCTAAATGGCATATATTATTATTATTGTTATTATAATAATATATAGAAAGCACTTTCAATGGAGATTCTCAATTGAGCTTGCTTTTCAGTCCACGACAAGGCTCAATTTGTGTTTGGGAAACCACCCAATGTTTACGCCTATTTCCAATAACTATCTGGAATGTATTTCCAATGAAGAAAATTAGGCTAATAGGCTAATAAAAAATAAATTAAAAAAAGGCTAATTATAAAAATGTCCTGTAATTTGTTGTCTAGCTAGCTGACCATGGCCCTTTTGCACAGCTAAGCATGTGCACTCATCTATTATCCTATAAGTCAATATCATTGACTTATGGTTATATGAAGTAGCCTACATACATTATGGTCCTGTGTATCTCCGATGGTAGAGCATTGCACTTGCAACGCCAGAGTTGTGGGTTTGATTCCCACGGGGGGGGGGGGGGGGGGGACCAGCACGAAAATGTATGCACTCACTACTGTAAGTCATTCTGGATACGAGTGTCTGCTAAATGACTAAAATATATTACTAATTACAATATTTCAGAGGGGGCCCTAGAGACGCAGCAATGGTCTGCACTCACTAAAGAATCTATATAACTACATTTATTAAATGTGTTGTATGTGTATATGACTTCAGTGGTAGTTATAAACAAAACTTTATAAAGATATTTGCATTTTATGCCTGTGTTTGTGAAAGGGTAGAGGGGTAGATCAAAAGTTGCAACCTGGTTTCAGAGCATTTTGTATTATTCTGTAAGTAAATCCGTGACACACCATTTATCAAATGTGCCGAATACAACAGGTGTAGGCCTTACGGTGAAATGCTTACTTACAAGCCCTTAACCAACAATGCAGTTAAAGAAATAGAGTGAAAGAAAATATTTGCTAAATAAACTAAAGTATAAAATAAAAAGTAACACAATAAAATAACAACAACGATAACAAGGCTATATACCGGGGGGTACCGGTACCTAGTCAATGTGCGGGGGTAAAGGTTACTCCAGGTCACTTGGCAAGAACAGCTCAAATAAGCAAAGAGAAACGACAGTCCATCATTACGTTAAGACATCAAGGTCAGTCAATACGGAACATTTCAAGAACTTTGAACGTTTCTTCAAGTGCAGTCGCAAAAACCATCAAGCGCTATGATGAAACGGAAGGTAGCTTAGTGGGTAAGAGCGTTGTGCCAGTAACCGAAAGGTCGCTGGTTCTAATCCCCGAGCCGACTACGTGAAAAATCTGTCGATGTGCCCTTAAGCAAGGCACTTAACCCTAATTGCTTGTGTAAGTCGCTCTGGATAAGAGCGTCTGCTAAATGACTAAAATGTAAATGTAAAAATGATAAGTTCATTAGTTACCAGCCTCAGAAATTGCAGCCCAAATAAATGCTTCACAGAGTTCAATTTTTTTTATTTTTTTTATTTATTTCACCTTTATTTAACCAGGTAAGCCAGTTGAGAACAAGTTCTCATTTACAACTGCGACCTGGCCAAGATAAAGCAAAGCAGTGCGATAAAAACAACACAGAGTTACATATGGGGTAAAAAAACATAAAGTCAAAAATACAACAGAAAATATATATACAGTGTGTGCAAATGTAGCAAGTTATGGCGGTAAGGCAATAAATAGGCTATAGTGCAAAATAATTACAATAGTATTAACACTGGAATGCTAGATGTGCAAGAGATTATGTGCAAATAGAGATACTGGGGTGCAAAAGAGCAAAATAAATAACAATATAGGGATGAGGTAGTTGGGTGGGCTAATTTCAGATGGGCTGTGTACAGGTGCAGTGATCGGTAAGGTGCTCTGACAACTGATGCTTAAAGTTAGTGAGGGAGATAAGAGTCTCCAGCTTCAGAGATTTTTGCAATTCGTTCCAGTCATTGGCAGCAGAGAACTGGAAGGAATGGCGGCCAAAGGAGGTGTTGGCTTTGGGAATGACCAGTGAGATATACCTGCTGGAGCGCAGACTACGGGTGGGTGCTGCTATGGTGACCAATGAGCTAAGATAAGGCGGGGATTTGCCTAGCAGTGATTTATAGATGGCCTGGAGCCAGTGGGTTTGACGACGAACATGTAGTGAGGACCAGCCAACAAGAGCGTACAGGTCACAGTGGTGGGTAGTGTATGGGGCTTTGGATACAAAACGGATGGCACTGTGATAGACTACATCCAATTTGCTGAGTAGAGTGTTGGAGGCTATTTTGTAAATGACATCGCCGAAGTCAAGGATCGGTAGGATAGTCAGTTTTACGAGGGCATGTTTGGCAGCATGAGTGAAGGAGGCTTTGTTGCGAAATAGGAAGCCGATTCTAGATTTAACTTTGGATTGGAGATTCTTTATGTGAGTCTGGAAGGAGAGTTTACAGTCTAACCAGACACCTAGATTTTTGTAGTTGTCCACATACTCTAGGTCAGACCCGTCGAGAGTGGTGATTCTAGTCGGGTGGGCGGGTGCCAGCAGCGTTCGATTGAAAAGCATGCATTTAGTTTTACTAGTGTTTAAGAGCAGTTGGAGGCTACTGAAGGAGTGTTGTATGGCATTGAAGCTCGTTTGGAGGTATTTCTGATTGAGATGGGGGTCAAATACTTATTTCCCTCATTAAAATGCAAATCAATTTATAACATTTTTGACATGCATTTTTCTGGATTTTTTTGTTGTTATTCTGTCTCTCACTGTTCAAATAAACCTACCATTAAAATTATAGACTGATCATGTCTTTGTCAGTGGGCAAACGTACAAAATCAGCAGGGGATCAAATAAATGACGGGAATCCTCTCCTCTCCCCTCTATCCATCACTACTCCTTCCTCTGCATCGTTGTCTTCCTCGGCCCGCAGGCCCTCCAGCTTGTGGCAGATGTAGGAGAAGGAGCTCTGGAGGTGGTCTGGTCGACGAGGCTCGTTGCCGTCTTTCGTCCGGATGAAGAAGCGAGGCAGACTAGAACCTCCAGACTCAGAGTCAGAAGATGAGCTCCCAGAGTCCACGCTATGCCCACCAGCCCCCTCCCAGAATGGGTTGAAATGTCCCGGGTCCCCCTGGAAGGAGGGGAAGGTACTGGGGCCATCGGAGACGTCACCCTGGGGATGTGTGGTGGTGCTGGTAGTGGTGGCCTGGTCTGGGCCAGGGGGAGAAGAAGAATAAGGCACAGAGGCAGAGGATGAACTGGAAAAACTACGGAAGAAATCGTGCTGATCCCAGGGCCTGCAATGGAAAGGTAACGCGCCGGTAGGAGGAACCTCCCTCACCGGAGTGCAAAGAGGAGTGTTGCAGGGCACACAGGAACTTCCGTTGAGGTTAAAGTGCATTGGAGGGGAACTGCTGAAGATATTAACACGTTGTATAGCCTGGGTGCCAGACATGACAATTTTGTAAGGGGTTGGCAAGAGAGCAGAAACAGACTGGCAGCCAGGCTAGTTCTAACCTGCATGGTAGAATAGAAGTAGGCTACAACAAACAAAAATATTATCATTGGAAGAACGAACAACCGAACACACAGCCCTACCATCACAATGCACTTTACATTTCTCTCAGAAGATTATTCATTGTGAAATGACAGGAGGTTGAAGAAGCTCTCTTTATAAAAGAGGAAATACCATGTATAATCTTGTAGACTTGCATTTAACACACTCACAGGACTGGTTTTCCCGACACAGATTAGGCACAGGAGGTTGCTGAGGGGAGATCGGCTCATAATAATGGGCGGAACGGAGCAAATGGAATGGCATTAAACATCTGGAAACCATGTGTTTGATGTATTTGATACCATTCCACCTATTCTGCTACAGCCATTACCACAAGCCCGTCCTCCCCAATTAAGGTGCCACCAACCTCCTGTGAGATTAGGCTAAATCTAGTCCTCTCTAGCTCAGTTGGCAGTTGCAATGCCAGGATAGTGGGTTTGATTCCCGGGACCACCCATACGTAAAATGTACTGTACGCATGCATGACTAAGTCGCTTTGGATAAAATCATCTGCTAAATGGCATATATTATTATTATTGTTATTATAATAATATATAGAAAGCACTTTCAATGGAGATTCTCAATTGAGCTTGCTTTTCAGTCCACGACAAGGCTCAATTTGTGTTTGGGAAACCACCCAATGTTTACGCCTATTTCCAATAACTATCTGGAATGTATTTCCAATGAAGAAAATTAGGCTAATAGGCTAATAAAAAATAAATTAAAAAAAGGCTAATTATAAAAATGTCCTGTAATTTGTTGTCTAGCTAGCTGACCATGGCCCTTTTGCACAGCTAAGCATGTGCACTCATCTATTATCCTATAAGTCAATATCATTGACTTATGGTTATATGAAGTAGCCTACATACATTATGGTCCTGTGTATCTCCGATGGTAGAGCATTGCACTTGCAACGCCAGAGTTGTGGGTTTGATTCCCACGGGGGGGGGGGGGGGGGGGGACCAGCACGAAAATGTATGCACTCACTACTGTAAGTCATTCTGGATACGAGTGTCTGCTAAATGACTAAAATATATTACTAATTACAATATTTCAGAGGGGGCCCTAGAGACGCAGCAATGGTCTGCACTCACTAAAGAATCTATATAACTACATTTATTAAATGTGTTGTATGTGTATATGACTTCAGTGGTAGTTATAAACAAAACTTTATAAAGATATTTGCATTTTATGCCTGTGTTTGTGAAAGGGTAGAGGGGTAGATCAAAAGTTGCAACCTGGTTTCAGAGCAT